AGACGCAGAGGAGAGGGAGGGAAAGGAAAAGAAGGAAAAAAGGAAAAGGGAAAAGGAAGGAATGGAAGAGAAAGAGAGAAAGGAAAGGAAAGAGAGAAAAAGAGAAAGAAAGGGGCAGGGAAGGAGGGAAAGAAAGAAGCAGAGGAGAGGGAGGGAAAGGAAAAGAAGGAAGCAGAACAAAAAAAGAGAAGGAGGAGGGAGGAAAAAAGAAAGGAAGGAAGGAAAAGGAAAAATAAAAGAGAAGGAAGGGAAGAGAAAAGAAAGAGAAAAAGAAAGAAAAGAGAAAGGAAAGAAAGAAAGAAAAGAAAGAAAGAAAGGAGTGGAAGGAAGGAAGGCATGAGGAGAAGAAAAAAGGGAGAGAAAAAAGGAGAAGAGGGAGGGAGGGAAGGAGAGGGAGAGACGACAAGGAAGGAAGGAAGGAGAAGAACAAAAAAGGGAGGGAGGGATAAAAGAAAGGAAAGGAGAAGGAGGAGATGGAGGAAGAGAAAGGAAAGAGGGAGGGAGATAAAGAGGAAAAAAAGACAGACAGACAGAAAGAAAGGAAAGAAAGAATAGAAACCTGGCTGGATGGAAACGCCAGGGTCTTTTTCCTGCACCCACCGGGTGGGAGTTTGGGGGGCGGGGCGGGGCACACTCCATCTTGGCAGAGGGGGGCGGGGGGGGGGCTGAGGATGTGCTGGACCCCTCACATCCTCCTCTTCTTCCTCCCCCCCAAAAACCCCCAGGACGTGGTGACGGTGGTGGTGGAAGACCTCCGTCTGTGCACCGTCAAGCGATGCCCGGATCACGAGCGCCGCTTCTGTTTCGAGGTGGTCTCCCCCTCCAAGTGAGTCCCCTCCCCTCTTCCTCCCCGGGGGCTGCCGCAGGGCGGAAGGTCAAAAAAGTCAAGATGGCTCCAGGGCCCCCTGCCATCCACGTCCTTCCCTCAGCACGGCCATCGAGGTGTGTTTGAAACCCCCAGATTTCCCCCAAAAGAGCCGGAATCCCATTTTTTCCTCTCTTTCTCGCCTCCTGTTCTTCGACCAAATTCTTATTTTATTCCAAAAAATTAACTCCAAAATAACAACAACAACAACAAACGCCAAAGAAAATTATGGATAGATTTAGAATAAATTTTGATTCTGGATTTGTTTTTATTAAAGATTAGGAAATAGAGATAGAATCTGAAAACTGGGGGAAATTTCTTCTTCTTCTTCTTCTTCTTCTTCTTCTTCTTCTTCTTCTTCTTCTTCTTCTTCTTCTTCTTCTTCTTCTTCTTCTTCTTCTTCTTCTTCTTCTTCTCATTCTTCCTCCTCCTCCTCCTCCTCTTCATCTTCT